GAGTTTGTTTTGCTATGGGACGCGCNTTATATGCAGGACTTCCTTGTGTTTGAGTTTGGTTTGCTATGGGACGCGACTTGCAAGCAGGACTTCCTTGTGTTTGAGTTTGGTTAGCTATGGGACGCGACTTGCAAGCAGAACTTCCTTGTGTTTGAGTTTGGTTAGCTATGGGACGCAACTTGCAAGCAGAACTTCCTTGTGTTTGAGTTTGGTTTGCTATGGGACGCGACTTGCAAGCAGAACCTCCTTGTGTTTGTTTGAGTTTCCATGTAAGCAACTATGGACAACTAAACCATCCTGTTTTGCAGTCCTGTCAGTTTCCAAGTTCTGCACCTGCAGCCTCATTTTACAGCAGAACACCCAATTCTAATCCTCCAACTGTGTTCCCAATCCTATGGCAGCGACCTCATCCTAAACTTGCGAAAGCCTGCAATCCCCGTCCTGTCGACCAGGGTCCCATCCCCATCCCTGGCCAGGGCTCCCAATCCCCTCCTTGGTCAAGGTTGCAATCCCCATCCCTCAGACAGGGATCCCATCCCCATCCTCACCCCCGACAGCAATCCCCATCCCAAAAGTAGTGTAGCACGCCTAATCCCTAATCCTCGCCCTGGGCCCCACATCCCATCCTGACATCGTCAACCCTATTCCCCATCCCGCCTGACCAGTACCTGCCCCCAATCCCCCATCTCTGCAACCCTCTGATAAGCCCAACCTTTCGTACCCGACACAAGCTCAACTGTCTCGACGTCAGGCGAGGTGGTTGGAATTTCTTGAGTCTTTCACGTTCGACTGGCAATATCGCGCAGGAGTTTGCAATCCCGCAGATCCTCTGTCTCGGTTCCCGGGACGCAGTCACGAGTGTCTGATGATGGCAATTTCGACTCGCGCCACTCCGAGTGGGGATGCTTCCGCATCTTCCGCTGGCGTCATCTCAGAGATATCGACCTCTTTTCCAGACTTAGAGCGGTTGCTTGTCGAATAACCTTCGACAGGTTATTCGTCTGATCCTTGGTTTGCCGATCCGTCTAATACGGCGTCTCTGCAAAAGCATGATCGTTTCTGGTACAACCAACATGCTCTCGTGATCCCTAATGATTCCAAACTTCGTTCGCACATTCTGCATCTCTGTCATGATCATCCGATGGCGGGTCATGGTGGGGTGGCCAAAACGTTGGACCTGGTGCGTCGTCAGTTTTGGTGGCCGAAACTTCGCTCTGCCATTGCAGAATACGTTCGTACGTGCGACAGTTGTCAGCGCGTTAAGTGCTCTAACGATCTTCCTGCTGGGAAGCTCCTTCCGTTGCCCATTCCTGAAGGGAAATGGCAAATCGTCACTATGGATTTCATTACGGATCTTCCTTCTGATTCGGATGGGTATACGGCAATCTACGCCTTCGTTTGCAAGCTTACCAAAATGACTCACCTTGTTCCGTGTCGTAAAGAAATCACTGCGGTGGAGTCTGCTAAGCTTTTCGTTGATACCGTTGTTCGTCGGTATGGTTCCCCCGCGATCCTTGTTTGTGATCGGGATCCATGTTTCCGTTCCGCTTTCTTCACGCATCTGTGTGAGGATATGTCTATCGACCTCCGTTTCAGTTCGGCTTATCATCCACAAACTGATGGTCAAACTGAACGTGTGAATCGTACCCTCGAGGATATTTTGCACCATTATGTTGCCGGTGATTATCGATCCTGGTCTCGTTTCCTTTCCATGGCTGAGTTCGCCATGAATAACTGGGTGCATTCCTCTACTGGTACTTCTCCGTTTCGTCTGATGTACAGTTTCGAACCTCTGACTCCTAGTTCTCTCTTGGCTCGCCAAGTGGGGGGGGAGAAGGCGCGTGCTCTTCGCAACGCCGTTTCCGTACGTTTTGCATCTGACATGCAAGGTGCACTTGAGCGTGCTAAGCGTTGTTTGGCTGCACAACGTGATCGTATGAAGCGTTTTGCTGATCTCAAGCGTTCGGAACGTCAGTTCAAGCTTGGAGACGTCGTGTTGCTGAGCACTCAGCACATGCGTCTTGAAGGTCTGCACAAGTTGCTTCCTCGTTTTATCGGACCATACATAATTAAGGCTAAGATTAACGACGTCGCTTATCGTTTGGACTTGCCTAATGGAACGCGTATTCATGACGTATTCCATGTGTCTCTGTTACGGCCTTACTATGAGAGTGATCGTGCTCCGAAACCTCCACAACCGGAGATTGTGGATGGTGAATTGGAATTCGAAGTCGAGGCAGTCCTTGATCATCGTGACGTGACACAAAAGCGTTGTCGCACTCGGATCTTTCTAATGCATTGGAAGAATCAAGGTCCAGAGTACGACTCGTGGGAACCAGAGTCGAACCTGACTAACTGTGCAGATTTGCTGCGTTCGTATTGGCAGACTCGTACAACAGCTGCTACCCTCGCGTCCCAACCTAAACCAGGAGTCACGCCTGTTGTCTCGCCGTCCTCCGTCTCGGACGTTCGTAAAACCAGATCTGGGAGAGGTGTTCGTAAGCCTTCTCGTTTCTCCGCATTTCTTTGGACTATGTCTACTGCCAGTGGGGTGCCTGCGACTCTGCTTTTCCATGCGCAAGCGTGGCGGCGTGGATAAGTCGGCTGTCGGGACGACCAGCCAATTAGGGGGGGAAGTATGTAACGAGCATGAGCTGTTACATTACACTCATTCGCCTATTCGTTATCGTTCGTCGGTGAAGTTTGGCCTTCGCCATAGGGCCTTCATCTAATCTGGTTCGCTTTGCCGTACTTCCGTCGGTGGCCGGTCGATAAGACGGCTCACCACCCATCACTCGGGTTCTTTTGGTCCCACCACACAAGTGGAATGCTGCTTAAATAGGCTCGAATGTAACAGTAACGATTCTTAACCGTCGCTGCATTCAATCCCCGGTAGTCAATGCACATGCGGAGGCTACCATCTTTCTTACCCACGAACAGGATTGGGGCAGAATAGGGAGAAGTGCTAGGACGGATCATACCCTTCTTTAGCAAGTCGGTAACCTGGCGCTTGACTTCGTCGAGTTCCAGAGGGCTCAGACGGTACATGGGACGAGTCACAGGAGTCGCACCCGGAGTCAAGGGAATCGTGTGATCGACAGGCCGAACAGGAGGGATGCCTGGGATCTCCTGAAAAACGTCGGAAAACTCGTTCAACAGGGATTGCAGCTCAGGGTCCGATGGGTCAGTAGTGGCAACGGCAGAGTTCAATTGTAGCTTAGGCCGAACTAACAGACCATGCGCCCCTTTACGAATAAGTCGGACTGCAGCTTTCCGACCTATGGGTTCAGGTGTGGCATGTTGACAGAGCGCGGCCACGGTGTAATGAACTTGCGGTTCCGACTGCGAGGTACCCTGTTCGGAGGAATCACGCTCCGCGACAACGAAAGGCGCCTTATAAACAAGAGTCCCTTTGCGCAACTGCAGAGTGCGCGACTCGAAACTAAGGACGCCCCCGAACCGCGAGAACGTAGAGGACCCTATGATGTACGTGACCGGCGCAGGCAGCTCAGGCAACGCGTACGGGTGCACGGTTAGACGCAAAGGGCCAATGGACAACCGTAGTGTAACCCGACCCACGATAGCCTGTTTATCCCCGTTCGCGAGCGTAACATGTGACCAAGCACAGGTACTAGGTGTAATACCAAGTCGCTTCACCTCAGAGTGAGAAATAAAGTCGTCGCTGGCGCCAGAATCAGCAAGCGCAAGCAGAGAACAGTTGACGACGCGGACTTGGATCAGAGGCACCTTTCCACCTGGCAGAGCAGCAGATTGAGGCAAGAGCGATGAGGCTGAAAGGCGAGGTAAAGTGTCAGGCGCAGCACCAGCATGTTGCGGGGGATCGTACCAAACATCGAACGTGTACGGCAACCCAGGATGCGGCACAGGCCGGCCCTCCAGATCGAGCCAGTTGAACAACAGTGTTCCTGGACTAAATTGCAAAACGCGCTGCATCCCGGCCAGCA